TGCTTGCTGATTTTATTTCAGTAAACATTATGCCTCGGGTCCAGCAGATCTTCTCTTTGGTGGAGCGCCTACTAGCATAAAGGGTCTTCATGTAATCTTTGACTCTGGCACTACCTTCACTTACTTCAATTCTGCAGTTTATGAAGCCATACTCAATCTGGTGAGATATAATCATAGAACTGTTCCTCAATGAATTCAGTATGACACGTAACAGGAACTCATTGCTTACTTCATAATTCAGTTGAGCAAGGATCTAAATGGGAAGCAAATAAGACAAGTACAAGATCCAGATCTTCCTGTCTGCTGGAATGACGGAAAACCTTTCAGAGTCCTTTCTGATGTTAAGAGCTATTTCAAGCCCTTTACACTGGGCTTTACAAGAACGAGGAATGCACAGCTGCAACTAACACTCGAAAATTATCTCATAATTTCAGTGAGAACCTCCTGGCACCTTTAATTTTCTGCAATAAGAGAGTAAAAAAGAAAATCAAGGAAACAAAGGATGCAAGTAGATTAATAACAAATTTAACGTGCTCCTCTCTTTCAGGAACATGGAAATGCATGCCTGGGAATTTTGGACGGGACTAAAGAAAGAATGGGAAACATTAATGTCATTGGAGGTAAGACATGCTAGTACAGAAAAGGTCCTCAACACATGTCAGTGATTTTACGCCCCAATTTCGCGTTTCTTCCTTTTTCATAATCCAACTTGAATCCTTTACCCTTTTTGCTATTCAGACATTTCAATGCTAGACAAATTGGTAATCTATGATAAAGAAGGAAAGCAGATTGGATGGTCTTCAGCAAATTGCAGCAGGATTCCTAAGTCCTGAACCCCACTTCTCCATCACTAGCCAGAAGAAAGCATTGAGAAAGAACAATAAATGAATGAAGAAAAAACTTGTCTGTATCAGCTTCCTGCTTAAATGTTTCAGTAAGATCCAGTTTTCAGTCACAGGAAGCTTGCTGAAATCATTTTTATGCTTCATTATATATATTCCAGGTAGAAGAAAATGTTTCAAGACAAATAGTTTATAAAAAAAAATATAATAAGCACTTTCTGTTATAGATAATCTAAACAACTTTCCAATTACAAGTACGAAAGATGTAATCCAAGTTAGCTACCAAGAGGGGTTGAATTGGATCTTATCAATTTGAACTTAAAAACTTGTTTTTTTTTTTTTCTTTCAAAACTTAAATCAAGTTTGCAATTTATAAGCTGTTGTGTAGAATAAACAAAAAATAATATAGTGCAAAAAATAAAAGAGAAAGAAGAGAATATCAAGTCGTGATTTATAGTGGTTCCTCCAACCCGGAGTACGTCCACTTCTTAAGACTCATTGCTCGAGAGTTCAATCCATTGGAAATCTCTTGCTTACGGGTGCAAGATTAAACCAGAACAAACTTTTGCTTGCGGGTGCAAGATTAAACCCTTATAAGTGAATCTCAACTCACTCAACCCCTTCAAAGATTATCCCAATCCTAGAAGAATACAAAACCCTTGTAAAACAATCAACCCAAAAGCTCACAAAAAGAAGAAGGAAATCCAGAACAGTTTCAAACTCTGTTTTCTGTAACACTAGAGCAGTTCGTCCTTCTTGTTCATTCCCAGATCTGATTTTATGATCTTTTTAATAGTAGACTTGATTTTGGAAAGTGCTCAAACAATTGGTTCCCGCAAGGCCCATTAAGAATAAAAATAAACGGATAATTGAACTGTCAAAATTTAACCTTCCAGAATTTTTGCTTCGAAGCAAAAAATGATGGTTCGAACCATTATCGGAAAGAAGAAGTTCGGGATTGGTTCGAATCAAATTAAATTGTTTCGAACCCAGAACTCTGAACAAAGAAAACATGAATTAATTCTAATTGTGGGCAAAGATTAGAATTCTTAAATTAATTTTCCTGCACACTTAACACAAAAATAGATTAAACTCTTTTGAATCATGATTTAAATCACCATCAAAATACAAAGATAACCTAACAAAAGATGCACCAGCATTAGCTTTTACAAGCAACCAAATTTATAAAGAAGAAAGTTCATCCGTCCATGATTCTAGACAAGTAGAATGGAAGCATAATGAATTGGAAATGATAATAATTCTGAATTTCTCCAAAGCTAATCATACACTACCTCCCAATGTTAGCTGCATGACCTCTTTACTCTTTCTTGAATCTGGATACATGTTCCTGTCTTCCCCACTGATCCACCCAAAAATTCATGGTGAAGGTCACGTCGGCGCAGGTGAGGGAAGGCCTGAGATTCCTTAAAGGAATGTTCTTTAGATCTGGGTGGACATGGGTCGGGGGAGAAGGTTTACGGCTGAGGTTGATCGCCGATCTCCGGTGTGAATAGGAGGGTCGATTTAGAACGAGTACGAGATCAAACTCTTCCTGTTTGCTGGAAAGGCGCTAGGAGCTATTTCAAGCCCTTTACACTTAGCTTTACAAGCACGAGGAATGCACAGCTGCAACTGACACTTGAAAATTATCTCATAATTTCAGTGAGAACCTCCTGACACCTTTAATTTTCAGCAATGAGACAGTAAAAAAAAAATAATAATAAAGGAAACAAAGGATGCAAGTAGATTGATAACAAATCTAACGTCCTCCTCTCTTTCAGGAACATGGAAATGCATGCCTGGGAATTTTGAACGGGG